ATTCTTGCACAATGCCAGCGTTACTTCCTGGTAAGAGTTTCCCATTTACACACGGCTTGCACGTACACATGTTTGAATCATGCTTGTACTTCCAAAGTTTAATTATCCATGTAAATTACTCATAACCGGCTAGCTCCCAAATTATCCGGTTCCCATGCTTCTATTTTACAGTCGCGAAGCTAAATTGATTAGGATCAGTAGGGTTAGTTGGAGTACTTGAAATTAAGCTTCATGAATGGCATCATCCCCTCCTTCGGCGTCCACAGATTTGCATCACCCTGAGTCCTGGTGCAGTCAGGCATATGGTGCCGACTGTCCAATCAAGCCCTGTTCCCTATGACAATAAAAAATGAAAGTAAGAAGACAGGTCCCTAACCGTAGTTTAGGGTGCCCAATGGGCAGGTGAGAGAACCTGAAGAATGGACAAATGTAGCAAGATGCGGGCCACCAGACCTTGGGACGCGTGTACGGTTGGCATGTGGGGGTGCATGCCCCATAATTGCACCTAACAATAAATGTTGTACCTTAGGATATAATTTTGATTTAGGTTGTAATGGGAAGGTGAGATGTGTCAATCAAGGCCAGCACATGTAGGGGAAGCGAGGGAGGATTGGAGGGTCAGCAATCAAAAGCAACCCCTCGTATAACGACAATCCTAGTGATCATACGAATTTCTACGTACATTCCACGTGTCCTCTACCTATTGGGTGTTAGTGCACGAAACCAGACACCTAGGCTGCCTTAAAGAAGCAATGAAGCTTGATTTATAAGGCTCTTAATTCTTCATTTGATCTGTTCCACGCACATATTAATTCTTCATTTGATCAGTCGGTTTCTGGGCTGTTCCACTCACATATTGCTTTTTTCTATCTTTTCAGTTCAGATCTGGGATTTTCCAGGTCCAAGCTGAAGCTATGGCGGAGAAGAAGGTATCTAAATCTGATCTCTTTTCTCTATAGTTTCATACAGTACTAAAACAGCTAACGCCCATTTCCTTTGTCATTGGTTTTAATTGTTTTTTTGGTCCCCTGTTTCCCTGTAACGCATTTGTGAAAAGTTAAATCTATTTTTTGGTTTTGTGGCTGTATGCTCTTGAATGTCTCATCTGCCCATTCTTCCATGTCAGAAACTGAATCTTGTACTTCCATTCCCCTTGTCTGTACAGCAGAAAAGTTCTTTGTTTGCTAATGGTGATAGATGAATTAGTTTTCTCTTTCATGTTTCATCATAGTATTTTACTCTTCTTTTCCGCCTGAAATATGGAAAACCGCGCTGCTATGTGTACGGATGTAGGTGACGATTATGGTGCTGAAGGTAGACCTTCAGTGCTGTCGCTGCTACAAGAAGGTGAAGAAAGTACTCTCTAAGTTCCCTCGTAAGTTTCCATCGTCTTTGTGTATATGTTTTTTATTTTTTGAAAGGCTGTCTTTATGTATATGTACATTGGTTGTTTACAGTATTGAATAGAAACATAGTTAGTTGATGATTGAACTCTAGGTGAGAAATGGACTGAGTTGATATTTGATGATGGCTTTTGTGAACAAGAGAAATACGAGACCAGGTATACGACGAGAAGGCCAACACGGTGACGATCACCGTGGTATGCTGCAGTCCGGAGAAGATCAGGGACAAGATATGCTGCAAGGGTGGCGCATCCATCAAGAGCATTGAGATCAAACCACCACCACCCCCAAAACCCAAGGAGCCTGAGAAGAAACCTGAAAAGCCTAAAAGACCCGAGAAAAAACCTGAAAAGCCTAAAGAACCCGAGAAGAAACCTGAAAAACCCAAAGAACCTGCGAAGCCAAGGAGCCTGAGAAGAAACCTGAAAAACCAAAGAAGCTGAGAAGCCTAAAGAGCCCGAAAAGAAGCCTGAAAAACCCCCAGCCCCAGCCCCAGCCCCAGCCCAGCCCCACGCCCAGCCCCAGCTCCAGCCCCAGCCCCAGCGCCAGCACCAAAGCCAAAAGAACCGGCACCTCCACCGCCATGGCCTATCCCCAATTGGTTTTGTTGCATAGACTGTTATCATGGCCATGGTGGGGGACCTTGCTACTATGGTGGACCACCTCCACGCCCATGTTACGGGACTTATGGTAGACCAGTTTATGATAGCTGGGGCGGCGGTGGCGGCGACTACAAGTACTGTTATACGAGTCGCGGAGAGTGTTTTAGCGAAGAAAACCCTCAAGCTTGCTCAATTATGTAACGTGGCACATAGCATTGAGCATTGTCAATTTCCATGACATCACTGATAATCTTCTAGTTGTCTCTGTTGAATATTGAGTCAGTTTTACTTCATGTGAAATAATTTTTCTTTTTAGTTTATCCATAAACAAAGAAATTGCTTTTCGTTCTCGACTATAGACATTTCATAGGTCATGTAAGAAAAACTAATAAGGTTGGTGGTGGTGGACAATCGATGGGGCATTTCAGACTTACAAAAAGTTTGTTACCATTATTTTTTTATTTAATAAAAAAGTATCTGTTAATGATTTGCCTTTTCACGATGTGTTTGCTTTTTCTTTCGCTTTCTCCTTTGTCTTTTTAGGCCATGGCTTTCAGTCAAAGATGACATTACAAATCCAGATACATGGTCATGGATTATTTGACAAGTTTTAAATAGTTTAATGAATGGTTGGTAGGTTCATTTTTGGGAAGCCGCCTGTCATCTAAAAACTTTAGCTTAATGCCGTGTGGTGTAATACCTTAATTTATACACAAGCCAAGCAGAAGTAAAAAAGAAAGAAAGAAAGGGGAACAAGCTTCCGTAGTTTCAGTCCATCTCTTCTTCTTCTTCATCTGTTTCAGTGTTTTCTGTTTTCAAGACCCCATCCCGGATTTCGAAGAACAAAAGAAATGAAAGTTGTTAAGGATTTTCGTCATCCGGCTAAAGTCTAAGATCTCGTATATTCGATATCCTTGCCGTAAAAATATATGTATATGTTGAGAAGGAATTCATTGACAAATGGCCATCGGATTAAGGAACCATTTCAGACACGTCTCTTCCCGCAAAGCAGATCATATTCATACCTCATACGATTGCTTGATTGAATATTATGGAAAAAGCCAAACCGACAAAAGACAAGTAGCATCCGGAAACGTTCACGTCAAATGAAAGCAATGTTTCATCAATTTGCAGTAGGTGATCAGGCGCTGCATATTTATATCGAGTTTCGAATTGCAATTTTTTCCAGCCAGCAGGCAGCCGACATCAAACTCTTATCTCCATGTTTACACTGTGTTCTGAATCTCTATATCTACAGAAGGTGAAGGCAGAGCAACCAAATTTGATTGCAACATATGTGAGACATGTTAGAGCGGTAGCAGGGTGTTTTGGTTGCGTCGGTTGCATGCAATTATTGTAAAATTGGACTGATACACATCATATTATTATTTCCTGACGATAGCATTGACCACCACCATCCTTTTTTCCCATTGGGCGCCAACCGTTTTGGCCTTGCATAAGCAACTAGGCTACCCTCAAGCATTAGAATATTAATTAGCTTTGGCCTACTTATTTCTTTTTTTTATAAATTACTTTATAATTAATGAATATCTTATCGACTGCAATTCCTAGCTGCAGGTCATTTCAAACATATCGATACATAAATGCAAATTAAGGCCTAAGCCTGGTGAATGGTGAATGGTGAATGGTGATTGAAACAGACGGAACTCGAAGGAGAAATTATAAAGAGAGGTACGATTTAGCAACAAGACATAATGGAGAAAGTGACTGAGTGGGTGGATGGCATTAAGAACTGTATAAAAATTTAGATCGGAGAATAGTTAGGTCGAATCAAAAGGAATCATTAATCGTAGCTTCTATAAATATAATAAAAAGGATGCCCATTTATCGGTGGTCAGCTCAGCATCCAAAGCAAGCCCTCCTTCAAGTTGCTAGCAGCCAGCTTCGCATTCACATTAAATAGACTTGGAGACTTATTTAGGTTCATGTAACTGAATTTAAAAAATTAACAATAGAGAAGTAAAGATTCAATGCTTTTGCTGATTGATCATCGTTTCAGCACGATACTTTTTCTTGATTTCTTAGTATATTCAAACAGAACTTCCTTTTTTTTGAGGTGTTGGCCGGTGGGGGACCGTTCACCTGTAACTTTACTACTAGTTATACATAAAAGGAAGTGATTTATCTCAAATCTTTTAAATTTTGTGCTTTTGTGGCATTGAAATGTAGAAAACAATAGAGAAAGTTGGGTTTTGTGGCTCATATTGAAAGCAATAAAGGAAAAAAATACCCTTTATAATTTACAATTTTCTTGAAAATTTGAGGCAATTTGGGTCCTCTCCAGGCTTGGGTGCAGAACCGAAACAAGTGATCCTGGCCCAAAATGGCTTCTATTTTATATTTTTCCCTTGATTGGGTTGACGGGCTTTAAAATTCACAGACTAACCAAATCCATGCAAAGCATAACCATATGTCACGGGATCATTACTCTTTCATTCATAAATACGTTTATCAGAGTGCGCAATACAACCTTCCGGCAACATCCCGTTGCCGTTGGTCACCCTGCCGCTTGACATGATTCACGGGAGTCATTATCTTCTCTCCAGCAAACGCGTTTAAAGGGGTGTACAGCATATCCGCTTATAAAGAGCTCAAGACCTCCCGTTCCTGTCCGTCGTAGGATAGAAGTATTTTTTTCGTGACACATGGACATCGTTAAAGTGAGCTACGCCGCACGATAATTAATCACATTTATATCCTTTAAGTGAAAAAACAAAAACAAAAAAAACTTTGATTTCTCCCTTTTATTTATTGGCCAACGAGCGTAGTACATTCTGGGGCCATGCAAAACAATGAAGCTTAACTTGGGTCATTAACCCGTTCATCCCTCCTGGTCTTTGTAGCTTTCGGTTAGTTTCACTCACTATATTAATTCTTCATTTCATCAGCTTTTGCCTTGCTTCATTCCATCTTTGCGGTTCAGATTCGGGATTTCCAAGTCCAAGCTGAAACTATGGCGGAGAAGAAGGTTTCTAAATCTTATCTCTTTTATCGGTTTCTAACACTACTTATCAGCAAGCACCCAATTTCTTCGTTATTGCATTTTTCTTTTTCTTTTTTTGTTTTTATCCCTTGTCTGTTTCCCCGTAACACATTTTTTGTGGCTATTACTTTTTGTAAAACGTTTATTCTTAGTTTTGGGTTCTGTGGCTGTTTGCTCTTGAATGGCTTTTCTGCCAATTCTTCCCATGTCAGAACCTGAATCTTGTACTTGCATGCCCCTTGTCTGAAAGCAGCAAAAAATCAATGTTTCCTAATGGTTTGTTTTACCGTACATGTTACTTTCCTTTTCCCTGAGATATGGAAAGCCACTCAGATATGTGTCCGGATGCAGGTGACAACAATGGAGCTGAAGGTAGATCTTCAGTGCCGTCGCTGCTATAACAAGGTCAAGAAAGTACTCTCTAAGTTCCCTCGTGAGTTTCTGTCTTGTCTTTGAGGATATATCCACATTTGGTTGTTTGTAGTATTTGTGATTTTATCTATAGCTTATTTATAGTATTGAACAGCAAGCACAGTTAGTTGATTACTGAGCTCTAGTCGAGAAAGTTTTGATAATTTGATGATGACTTTTGTGGACAAAAGAAATACGAGACCAGCGATTCGACGAGAAGGCCAACACGGTGACTATCACGGTCGTATGTTGCTGTCCGGAGCAGCTCAGGGACAAGTTATCCTGCAAGGGTGGCGGCTCCATCAAGGGCATTAAGATCATCAAACCACCTCCAACAAAACCAAAACCTGATCCACAACCAAAACCTGATCCACAACCAAAACCTGATCCACAACCACAACCTCCACTGCTACCATGTTTTTGCATGCGATGTCATCGTGTCTGTGTTTGGGGACCTTGCTGCTGTGATGGACCACCCCCACCAAAACCTCCACTGCTACCATTTTGTTGCATGCGATGTCATCGTTTCTGTGTCTGGGGACCTTGCTGCTGTGATGAACCATCCCCACCACCTCCACGCCCATGTTGCGGGACTTTTGGTAGGCCAGTTTGTGATAACTGGAGCTGTAATGTGTGCCGCGGTGATTGTTCTAGCGATGCTTGCTTAATTATGTAAAACACGTACGCCAGTTTCATGACTGTTTTTATTCTAATGTATTGTTAACTTGTATTATTTATGTGATATAGTTGTCAATATATGCGTATAGAACAATGTTAAGTTGTAATTACAATTATAAAAGCATCTTAAATTTAAGACTCTCTGCATAATTCTAAACCAAAAAAAAAAAGAAAGGAAAGGAACAAGCTTGTTTCAGTCCATCTCTTTCTTCCCTTCCCGATGAAGATGTTTTTGAGGAACAAAAGAAGATGGAAGTTGTTTAAGTATCGTCGTCATCAAGTTCTCATCAAGCGACCAAATTGATGCCAATGATATGCGAGAAATATTAGAGCAGCAGCAGGGGTTTTGGTTGCATGGATTGCAGGCAATTGTCGTCATATTATTCATTCCTAACGTACGATAGCGTTAACAACCACCACCAGCTAGGACTTCTCTCAAGCATTAAAATCATAACAACTTTGGTTTTATTATTATTAGAGTACGACCGATGCATTGCACATGGATCAAATATAAGATACTCACATATATAATTTGTATAGAATTCATATTTTTACAATTTACGTGAATAATTTTAGATTTTTTTAAAATATTGTTTAATTTTTTTAAACACTTTTTGAAACCGAGGCTTCTATTTAAGTATATTATAGATATTCTAGGTTATGTTCAAGATATAGTTATTACAACTACGAATCCGAACCAAACGAAAAGAAAAGCAAATTAAGGCCAAAGCCTGAAGAGTGAAGGGTGATTGAAGTGAAACAAGTGATGCTGGCCCAAAATGCCTTATAATTTTATTTTCCCTTGAGTGGGTTGGCAGGCCTATTAAATTCATAGGCCGACCAACGTCCAAGTAAAAGACAACCATGGACATTAAATGTTGTAGCAGATATTTTGGTACTTTTTGATGGAAACATGAACAAGGCAAAAGGCGATCTGGAACTTATAAGGTTAAAATGGTAAAACTAGAACAAACTATGCAACGACGGGTTTCTGTTGTGTCGTGTTGATAAGGCCACTCTGGCAGTCTCCTTCCTCTCGATAGAATCAGCACTGTCTCGTCTCTTCTATTCTCTAGTCTGGTGTGTATGAGTTAGCCAAAGCTTAAACAAACAGATAGAGAAAATGGCATATCATCATCTATGCTCTTCACCTTCTTGTGTTTTCCATGACCGCCACACTCTTTCTCCTTCACCCAAACCGAGACCTGCAAGAAGCACCGCTCCTTCTTTAAAGCTGGTTTCCTGCTCGTTTCAGTCTAAATCCTCTATCCAAATAAGCCATGTCTCCTTGCAAGACCCCATCACCAACCCGAAAAACACTCCGAAACATTCCAATTCTCAGTCCCCAGATGGCAAAACCGGTTCTTCTTCCAAAAGCTATGTGTGGGTCAATCCCAGAAGCCCCAGAGCTTCAAGGCTTAGGCAATTGTCTTACGATTCCAGGTACTCTTCTCTGGTTAAAGTAGCGGAGTCTTTGGATTCCTGCAATCCAAATGAACATGATGTTTTAAGTGCTTTGAGTCGTTTAGGTAACGATGTTTTGGAACAAGATGCTGTGGTTGTTCTTAATAACATGTCAAACCCTCACACTGCATTGCTTGCTCTTAACCATTTTCAAAGGATATTAAAGAAAACAAGTAGAGAGGTCATTCTTTATAATGTCACCATGAAGGTTTTTAGAAAGTCTAAGGATTTGGATGGAGCTGAGAAACTGTTCGATGAAATGCTTCAAAAAGGGGTTAAGCCTGATAACGTTACCTTTTCCACGTTGATTAGTTGTGCTAGGGTGTGTGCTTTGCCCGATAAGGCTGTCGAGTGGTTTGAGAAAATGCCTACATACGGGTGTGATCCTGATGATGTCACTTACTCTGCTATGATTGATGCATACGGCCGGGCTGGGAATGTTGATATGGCCTTCAACTTGTATGACCGTGCTAGAACAGAAAAATGGCGTATTGATCCTGTTACTTTTTCAACTTTGATTAAAATATATGGCATATCTGGAAATTATGATGGCTGTTTAAATGTTTATGAGGAAATGAAGGCCCTAGGTGCTAAACCTAATTTGGTTATATATAATACGTTGTTGGATGCTATGGGAAGAGCCAAGAGGCCTTGGCAGGCCAAGACTATTTACAAAGAGATGACAAACAATGGATTTTCACCAAATTGGGCAACCTATGCTGCACTCTTACGAGCCTATGGAAGAGCTCGATATGGTGAGGATGCTCTTAACATATATAAAGAGATGAAGGATAAGGGATTGGAGTTGACTGTTATTCTATACAACACTCTCTTGGCCATGTGTGCTGATGTTGGCTATGCAGATGAAGCTGTTGAAATTTTTGAAGACATGAAAAATTCTGGGACCTGTAAGCCTGACAGTTGGACATATTCATCTTTGATTACCATATATTCTTGTCGTGGGAAAGTTTCAGAGGCAGAGGGGATTGTGGATGAGATGTTGGAAGCAGGTTTTGAACCAAACATTTTTGTTTTGACATCACTTATCCAATGCTATGGGAAAGCCCAGCATACTGATGATGTTGTCAGGACATTTAATCGAGTTTTAGAATTGGGGATAACTCCAGATGATCGGTTCTGTGGTTGTCTTCTAAATGTGATGACGCAGACACCTAGAGAAGAACTTGCTAAGCTGACTGATTGCATCAAGAAGGCTAATCCAAAACTAGGTCACGTGGTAAAACTTTTGGTAGAGGAGCAAGATGGTCAAGGAAATTTTAAGAATGAAGCATCTGAACTCTTCAATTGTATTGGTTCTGATGTAAAGAAGGCTTACTGTAATTGTTTAATTGATCTATGTGTTAACTTAGATCTGTTGGAAAGAGCTTGTGAGCTGCTAGAGCTGGGGCTTTCACTTGAGATTTATGCTGATATACAGTCTAGGTCTCCAACACAATGGTCCTTGAATCTTAAGAGTCTGTCTCTTGGAGCAGCTCTGACTGCACTTCATGTTTGGATTAATGATTTGACAAAAGTACTGGAGTCTGGGGAGGAGCTTCCCCCGTTGCTTGGAATCAATACTGGACACGGAAAACACAAATATTCAGACAAAGGTTTGGCAACCGTTTTTGAGTCACATTTGAAGGAACTAGATGCTCCATTCCATGAGGCCCCGGACAAGGTTGGCTGGTTTTTGACAACACAGGTTGCTGCCAAGTCATGGTTGGAGTCAAGAAGTTCACGTGACTTAGTGGCTGCTTAGGTAGTGTGCTCATCAATAAGTGTTTGTACCAAGGCCAGTTCTTTGCATTTACATGTCTAGGAATGTATCATTTCTAAAATTCCTCCTTTAATGTTAGCATTCTCTCATTTGATAGTGGAAAAATTTTGTACCCTGAGACGGCATATATTTCTATACCCTTATGTATTATAAAGTTAGGTCACCTATGTTTAAGAGGATGAGATCCCCTCCATTGCATTTTGCTTATGCTATGATTCTTGAGTATCTTCATAGAATAAGTGCATATTTGGCTGTTGATAAGCTATCGAATTAGTTGGTGGCTGAGGAGGTAAACTCAATGGTCTGTGGAGAAACTGAATTACGGAAGGAACAGCACCTTGCCTTGGATAATGGAGCAAGTTTTCGGTCCAATGGATATTAGTTTGGATGAAAGCTGCTCCAACTTACCAAATGATGACACAAAAAAAAAAAAAAAAGCGTTTATCCAGGGACGTGTGTTGCACATGAATATGAAAGGAAAATGCTTTTAACGAGCATCAAATGCCAATGCTAAAAGGAGTTTGTCATACTTGATGAATGCTGGCCATAAAGCCAAATATAAGTAGAAAGTTGACTTCCCACTCTGAATTTTAAGAAAATGCTTTTAACGAGCATCAAATGCCAATGCTAAAAGGAGTTTGTCATACTTGATGAATGCTGGCCATAAAGCCAAATATAAGTAGAAAGTTGACTTCCCACTCTGAATTTTAATTTTCGAAGAGGCTTACCATCATGCAATGAACCAGGGAGCTTCTTTGACCTTGTTGTGCTAATTAATATTATCATTGACCTGCAATTTCCTTAACCTATAAAAAACTCATGCCAAATTATTAATGTAATGCAATGTGCACTAAAATTTTGAAAAAGGATTACTAAATAATGAGCACAGTGATGGCTTGCATGTCGAAACTGTCTCGAACGTGAAAGGTATAAAGTAGACAAGGGTCCTAACTCAAATTATCAACCAAGGATGGGGAACTGCATAAACCTTTCCCTCCCTCGGGCGGAGAAAGCTGAAATTCATATCTCTAGTGAAGGAGAAAAGGAGTTCAGAGCCTCAAAGCTAGTCAAAAAGGTCACTTGTGGCCCTTACCATGGCTATGAGTTGGTACAATATTCTCTGCCTCCTTCGCCATTGCCTCCTAGCACCAGACCTGTACCTGGGAAGGCTGGTTGTCTCCTGCCACATCTGATGCAACCTCATGACCATTCAATTTCTCTCAAAATTATCAAGAAAGAAAGCTGCCAAGGACGTAATATAAAGATTGTGATTACCAGGCAGCAACTTGAGTTTCTCCTCAGAGATGCGAAGATGTTCCAGTCTAAGAAAATAGCCGTCCGATCCCCAGGGAATTTTAAGCGAGGGGATCGGAAATGGCGGCCATCTTTGCCCGCCGTTCCAGAGGTGCCTGATCTTTAAAACTATATAGGGTTGCTGCCTGTTAAATTCTCCCTGCCCAGTTTTTGGCTGGAGAAGTGTATATTTCTGTAAAAGAAGTATATAGTAGCCGGGGAGACGGTTTCTGCGATGTTTTTCTTGCAGTACCATGTCTCGTCCCGAGATTTTCTGATTTCGGCTGTAGAAGCAGGTCATGATTCTATCAATCTAAAGTGCTTTCTGTGTTTGAACTTGGAACCATGGTAGCAAATTTATTATCTACACAGAAACATTGGCTATGGAAAACTTTTCAGAAGGCAAAGACAAAGGCTATGAACTGGCACAGTTTTAATGATAACCACCAACAAATGCTCTCCTTCTCTTAATACTATGAGGAGAATCTGACTTTACCAGCAATTGCAACTGTTGATGTGATTCTCCACAGACAATTCTTTAACCTTTCCCCTGTTTCTGTATTCCCTGTTAAGTTGCTCTTTCTGCATTCTTCTGCGGTTGGGATTCCACAATAAACTCGAATAGAAATTACAGTTCTAGGAAAGTAAGAAAAGAAACCAAGGGAATAATATTGGGTTGTCATTTATGCAAACCTCAAGCACCAGGAAACGCAATTGGACATCATCTTAGGATGTTACAAGTTCAGATCCCCAACCAACAGCCCAACCCTTTTCTTATACAAACCCAATTTCATCAATCAGAAACTTTATTTTAACTATCTACCACCAGCACAAAACATTAAGTATTTACATTGAAAATCAGAAAGACGTGGAAAACGAATCAAATGAATTCAAATTTTTCTTCAACAAACTTCCACCATCCATGGGAATCTTCAAGATGTTTTGCTTAGCCTGCTACATCCAAACCACCAACGCGTTAGAAGATCATGAACAATGTCAATTTCATGATAACTGATAAATGTATCAGTAAAAGCATAAAGATTTGCAATCAAATATCTTTCTCATATATATACATTGTGTAGTGAAAGTCTAAACGAGAGTTAAGAAGTTAGAAGTAAAAGAATAACGAGGAAGAAAATTTTAAGGATTGAACGAACCTTCTAGAGGAGTTGATGTTTCTTATCTTTTTGGAATCATCCATTTTGGCTGATCCATTTTCCTTTTCTTTAGTTACTGCTTCTCTCTTCAACCGTTTAGACTCCACTTCCATGGCTTTTGAGAATGCTTCAACCTTCTTCATAAGCATCTGCATAGAATTACATCTTACCCCATTCAGTAACTCATGCACTGAATATCTAGAGAGAACAGAGAAGAGAGCAGAGAGAGAGAGAAAGAGAATTCTGGTGCTTCACCTTTATTTCTTCATCTTTAGAATTTAAGCTGCTGTCTTTAGCCTCACAACACTTCCTTAAATTGATGACCTCTTTCTGAAGCCTATCATACAAAAATCCTGAAACCATATCTTCAACATTGCACCCGGCATTTCCTCTGTTTTCTGTCTCTTCATTGCTACATTCTTTGTTTTTCATTCCAGCCGAACCTGTCATGTCGCCATCTTTACTTATGTTAATGTCTGTGTTTACCTTCATTTCTGCATTTTCCTTCTCGCTACTATCAGCAACCTTACACCTAGACGTCCACAAATTCCTTCTCAGCATATTTTCTCCTGATGCACCCTTCTTTTTCAAGTTGCTAACTTGTGTTAATCCATTATTAGCATTGGCTGTTTCAGTTTCCACACTTGGCCGCTGTAGTATAGAAGTTCTACTGATGGTGGAACCCCTTGGCTGCGAGGTAGACCTCTTCCTTAGTCCACCGCTGCTTGTTAAAAACCCTAGGATGTTGGTGGACTTTTCTGGTTTTGGGGACCCGCAAGATGCATTAGGATTACCTGAGAAACTTGATACATGTTTTAAGCCATCTTCCAAGATCTTGAGCCTTAGCTTGAATTTTTCCTAAAGCACATTTACAATAAGCTTGAGATATATTGTATTACAAGATTCAAGGTGAAAAACGCAAATATTTAATTGAGCTATCTGGTCAATAAGTTAAAGTTCACCTTAAGCTGTGCTTCTGCCTTTGCTGTTCTCTCTGACACAGCTAGTTTATCCTTCAATCTCTGCACCTCTGCCTGTAAATAAAGAAATTCAATTAAATAATACAAGTTAAAAACTAATCATATCTAGTACCTTCGTCATTTGGTTGTGTTCATCAATAAATTATGTTTGAGACTACCAGTTTTAAGGTTCATAATCCTTATATTTCTGATCTTGTAGTTATGTGCATTGATGTTAAGTTGTACTTAAAAGCGAAAAGGAAATTCTTCATAATTCACAGACATTTGTTTGCATTAGTATGTGAAGAATTTCTAAGAACTTTTTTACCAAAGAATTACCTGCAGCAGCCTTCTGTCCTCCAGCCATTGCTTGACAGGCATTACTTTGTCATTCTCATCCTTCCACTCATTAGCCACCACAGTTGCTACACGGTTTGCTGAAACTTTAACTCTTGCGAGCTCCCTGTCAAGTGTCCTCTTTTCCTCCTGAACAATTGACTCATTCAAAGTTAATAACTATATGAATCAGAGTATTATAATTCTTGTAGAAAACATGACCAGAACTTGTTAAATCCCAATCCTGAAACTCAGCATGCAGGCATGGCACCTACATGAAGTTCAGAAATTCGTCGCTGATAGTCACGGATAGAATTGGCAGCAGCCCCACCAGCCAAAATGGCCTCTTCAAGTTCCTGAATGGTTTGGCTAAGCTTTTCAACTTCCAAGACCTTTTGGCGATTGGTTTTCTCAAGGATTTTGTTCTCCTCCTGCGTAAGGTTCATATTTTGATTGGCTAAAATTATTGAAATCCCTCTATTTAATGACCAAATGCAGAATGGGATCGATGCTAAACTTGCCTGGCAAATCTCAATCTGTCTCTTTAACTCAAAGTTCTGGTTTTGAACCTCCTCAACTATTAAAGCCCTTTCCAAAGCACTTCGCAGAATTCTCTCTGCTTCAAGCAAAGCTGACTCTTTTGACTTGGTAAGACGTTCCAAAGCCCTCTTATCCTCCTGGAGTATTGCAACCTGATTTGCCAAAAAGAGAGTGGAAAGTGAGCCTAGTGATAAAATTGGAGTCATGTTTTCAAAACAGTACATAGTTTCCCACAACCCTACCTCGTTTTTATACATTTTAATCTCTGCCTCAAGAGGAGCAATCACAGACTCAATGGGAACTTCATCATCATCCTTTTGATTTGCATGCACTCTTCTAAGAGTTGCTTCCGCAGCAAACTGTGCAGCCAGTGCTTCTTTCTTCTCATTTGTCAGCTTCTTGATTTCTAGATTCTACATTTAACAGGAAAAGAGCACCACTAGTTAAAACATATAAAAAAAAGTACAGTTATACACACAAAGAACCAGAACTAGACGCGCCTTATGTTGAAGGAGATTCTCAGTGACCCTATATTTCTCATCCAACTTCTGAACTTCACCCTGGAGCTGGAAAAAGAAATAAACAGTTTCAGTAGGCCGATGAGAAACTTCATCCCTTAGTTTCAAATAATTCAACAGAGCCATTGTAATTCTGAAACTGCAGCATATATTCTTATTAACTAAGTAGCTGTAGCACTTTACACAACTTTCTTCCAATTTAGTAATAAAATTTCCATGTGTATCAAATCCAAGTTCAACAGATTCTTTTTGCGTTCAAAATTTTTCACTACCTCTTCTATGGCCTTATCCTTCAGTGCTTCAGTTGCTCTCAGAGCCTTGATTTCAGCCTGAGCAGCTCCCAACTCCCGGTCCTTTTCTGGAATAACATTCCAAAT